GAAACCCGACATGAAAGAAGTACCAAACTTTTGGCACTTTATGGAAGTACCGAAAGTACGGTACCTGGTGCGGTGGAAAAACGCCCTAAAATCACAGTTCAATTAAAAAATACTTTATTTATCCCTTATTTAATAAGGGAAATTATTAATAATAATAGTAATAATGATAAACAATATTAAAGAATGCTCAATATTTTTATACATAAATATATATTTTGCATTTTTATAGTAGGTAGATCACTTTGATTTAGTAATTTTTAAGTGGCTCGCAAGCTAGCGTACCTTCAGAATGTGTGTTTAGAATGGCAGGTGACATAGGACGCTATGCTCTAAGCTCACAATCTCCTGAACACGTTGACCGTTTAATTTTTCTTTTAAAAAAAAAAAAAAAAAAAAAAAAAAAAACCTCTCAAAGAAGAATACTGACATACTTATTTCACCACAGAAGTCAGTCATGTTGATCTTCCTCATTCTACATGTCTGTCCATGCAATGTTTTTTTTTTTACTTTATTGCACTTTATTTTGCTTGTTTTATGGGACATACTTGACTACACTAGATTTTGTTTACAGTTCCCAATAAAATATGATAAAATGCTAATTATATTTGCATTTTTTAATTCATTGAAATATAAAGGATTGTGTGAAATTTCATCATTTCGACTACTATCCCCATTATCAAACTGAATTGTTTCGCATCGTATCGTATCGTGGGAATTTCTGAGGTATCAAAAAAAATCGATATTGTATCGTATCGCGAGGAAAGCTGTGATTTACACCCCTACTAGATACCAGTAGGTGGTTTTTGACTGGTACAGCCGCAGGGGCTGCTGCCATGTGAGTACTCCCTGGAACTTGTGTAGGATCTCATATCACTTATCATAAACGTATGATAAATATTAGGTGGAGCTCGGCTGTCCTTGATAAGTGAGACTTATGTGCAGGTTTTATTGAGCCTCCTGTCAGAGGTGCTCGCTAGTCAGATACCAAAAGTGCCAAACTAGCTGGGGTACTTCTTTGCTAGTTCAGTATTTTGGTATGGGAAATGCTTTCTTTCTTTGGTTATGCAAATAGCCTGCCTCAAACACAATACAAACGCCACCTTGAAAACGCTTTCGAAATCTGAAAATGAAGTAAAAAAATAAATAAATAAGAACATGTACAAAAAAAGATGCGGATGCCATGACAAGAAAAAAAAAGATGAGAAAGTATTTTGCTGAATATACTAATACAGCACACATATAGTGTATTGTCATAGCAGTGTGATTTTGTTGTGAAAAATATTGGGATATTTATAAAACATAAAAGGAGTTAATAAATTTGTCGAACCCGTATTCCAGTGATTCTAATGGCAAGGATGAAAATGATTATGATTGTCTTGGAGAACACATGCAGCACATATGCAAAAGCAGAGGAGGCAAAACTTTAAACTGATTTTTAAACATATAAGAATCTATAAAAGAAATAATTAAAATTGCAAAATTTGAACCCCCTGTTCTATAATGTCCACACAGAATTGAAAGAAAAAGATTAAAATAAGGTTATCTGACTAGCGATGTAAGAATTGTATGTGCATATCATGCAGTGTTGATATTAATATGTACAGTCCTATAATATACTATAGCCATTCTTGGAATTCAGTACAAAATACCCCGCCTTGCATTTTGATGTCATTCGGCGCAGGTATCAGTTTGTACGCCAGTGGAAAACAAACACTTTGAAGTACTGTACTTTTGGTACTTTCTCGAAGTACCTAATGCAGAGGAAAAACACCCTTAGCTTGCTTTAGTAGTTGAAAATGAGAGGTTCTCAAAGTACGAGGTGTAGAATAAATGATTAGCTGATCATTTGGGGCCCTGCTGAGAGGTGGTATGGCTGCCGTAGAGGGTGATTGCTGTAGTTAATCCATGTACATCAAATGTACAGTGGTACTCTTAGAAGTAATTAGCGATGGATTAATACTGCAGCAAACCATGGGGGCTCTGTGTGAAAAGTTTAGCAATCCGCACCTGTGTTTAGTTGTATGACCAAAGACCTGGTTTAGTAACAGTGTAGTAAGCATGTCAGGAGGCAGTGGTGAGTGTGGGGTGTGGGAGCGAGCAGCACTGCAAGACCGCATACTCTCTGGTACCCTTATATCAACTGAGCCATGCTGCTATAAATATTCAGAGTGGGAACTTCAGAATGTCTCCCTTGGAAATGGGGCACGGTGAACCAAAAAATCTGTCATTTCATCTGATCAGCCATTGAAAGTCTTTGACTTTGCTATTATTCACAAGAGTGTCTTGAAATTTACTTATGCATTTTTTTAATTAAATCTCAACCAGTCTTGTATTCTTAAGACTGTTTCATATTACCCTGAATTTGTTCCTGACTGAGTGGGCTAAATTTCTACAAAATGCTCAGTATTTGTTTCATGACTACAACCTAATCCAAGGAGATCTGAGGTCGATTTGTTTTTGTTTAATGTTGAAGGCTGTTTTTAGTAAAACCCAATATGGGTTCAAATGTGCATTTTAATGTCAAGTAAGATTATCTGGTTTCACCCAGCCATTAAAATAGCAGAGTTTTGTCATCACGAATGAGTGTGCTGAATTTGTACTGTTTTTCCCAGCCTACAAAGGACATGCTTAACCACCTGGGTCACCAGAAAAAAACGCACTGTAGAGTGGCCAGTAAATCGGTTTGACGTGTATTCTGGATATACCCCCTCCCTCTTTTAAAAAACAAAAAAAAAAACTGTTTACTTGTTTCCCTCCCGCCTCAATGTGTTGACATAGCTGAGAGGTTTACGCAAGAGCCTGCTGCGTGGGAGTATTTTCAGGGATGGGATGGGGGAGGGGAAGGTGCGGCTGAGCCCCAGTTGGGGGTGTAATATTCATGAGCAATCACAGCAGCTTGCCCCTGGGCAACTCTGCATGCTGCTCTGTTTTTAAGCTCCTCTAGATCCCCTTTTGAGTAGCTCTTTATTTTATCACTGCTCTTAGCTCAGATATGTGTGCTTGTCTCAGTCTCACCTGGCACATGATTGCATGTGAAGCTCACTGCAGGGCAGGTGTCTTGCCAAGGGGACACTAGGACATTACCTGCCAAGAATCTAAACACCCCCCAGGCTCCTTTTCTGACCCTTTAAAGTGTGAGGAGGACACAGGGGAAGGGAGGGGCTGGTGAGACTGCAGGCTGTAGGTCACTGTCGTAAGAGAGAAGTGCCCTCCCACTGCCCATAACACCCAGAAACGTACACACGCAGAGACGAGCACACCCACCCCGCCAGTCAGGAATGCAGGGAAGAATGCCATTCCTCCTTTTCAAAGATGGGCTGCTCTGTGTGAGATGGCGTGCCACCGCGCATCTGTAGAGTCCCCAGTAAGGATTATGATTCCTCACTCGCTCCATTTGGATGAAACTGCTCATAAGCATTGCAAAGGCTTCGAGGCTCTGTGGTGAAGTCAGTGTGCCCATGAAGTAATTTAGTTTTAATGTGTGTGTGTGTGTGTGTGTGTGTGTGTGTGTGTGTGTGTGGCAAAACTCCTGCTTGCATTGTTGAATTTGGGTTAAGTTCCTGAAAGGGTGAAGGGGAGGGGGAGAAGAATTTTTTTTTTCCCCCCTAGGAGTGTCGCCAGTATCTACATTAATTATGAAAGTATGCAGAGTAGCGTGGTGAATGTGGCAGTGCAGACAGCACTGTTTATGAGCTGTTTATTGAGATGGTTTACCCCTCTTCTGGCTGCTGTCCCCAGCTGATCTCTGAGCAGCCCCACCGCTCAGTCCAACATGTAACCCATCCCTCCCCCTGCAGTTTGTGGTTCTCATTGCCTGGCAACTTAAGCCCAGCTCCTTAGCTCAAGCTGACTGAGAATGGATATAGGACAGTGGCCCGACCGTGCTCTGTCGATGAATGCCTTATACCTGTCCATACTCTCTGTGCAAATGTTTTCGAACTCACTCCTAGGGGAGCCCCAGACAGTCCACGTTTTTGTTCCTTCCGGTAGTGAACTGGGAGGGAGCAAAAACACGGACTACCTGGAGGTCCTCGAGGACTGGGTTGGGAAACACTGCTCTGTGCTTTGTGTTTCCAAGCCTGGATTAGAGTCACAGAGCAGGCTGATAGATCAGCAAACCTGAGAATCTCCATGCTGTGCTGCAGAATGTCAGGTGACTGTTGGATGGGTGCCCAGCAGCATCTGAAGGAACAGTAGGGGTGCAGGTCTGAGCAGGGTTTATTCATCCCACGTTTCACTGCACCTGTAATGCTTAGTGACAGCACACATGTCCTCCATTTGCTGTACTTGACATTCTTTACTTCATGTTTTCCAATCCCACCTTCCCTTCCATGTTGCTTCAGTTGAAAATATCCCCAAGGTCTCAAGTAACCATATGAGTCTCGCTTGACAGCGGGACTGTGAGTACACTGCCTGGTCTATTAGTGTTTGTGTGTGTGTAGTGCTGTTTCCCTTGTCCGTAACTTGCAACACCATCATTCAGATCCAGGTGTACTGTGTCTTCCTGCTGTCTCAGCAGCCTCTTGCTGGTTGCCTTTTCCTGGGCCTCTAGTGCATTTGAAATGGCCCCATTAGCATGGCACGTTTCTTCCCTCAGACGCACCTGAATAATTTGCTAGTCTGACTTTAAATTACTTTTTCCGCATTCCTGTTGTACTGCTGTGGTCATGTTGTGCTGTTGGTCTATTTGGCTGCACATGCTACTATAGATACCCTGTCCCTGTGATAAGATGGTGAGGGACACACAAGTGACATTGCCAGAGTACAGGAGCTGCAGGTCAGACCTCCTCATGATGCCCGCCCACTTTTAGTAAACTAAAAAAAAAGACCTTTTCTTCAGGGTAAATGGAAATTATTGCAACACTAGTCAGCATTAGGCTTCTCAAGACTGGTGGAGTATATGGATAATGCCCCAGTAAAGCTTTGAGCGCAGTTGTTTCTCCATCAAGCATCCAGCCACCACGACTACCCTACCTCTCTTTAACATGGACCGCATCACGATTTGCTGCCGTTGCTCCCATCTGTTGGACCCGTACCGAGATGCGGCATGTCCCGCCCCCATGGCCAGCCATGGCTTTGAGTTAAGTGGGGCGTAGCCGGGGACAGGTTTGGGCTGGGAGAGGAACCTGCTCATGCTGAGGCTCTAATTGCAGTGTGGAGGAGGCTTCTTTGGAAGTTCACCGCAAAAGCGCTCTGCTCCTGTTTGCTGCCATAAATCACAGCAGCATCCATGATGTCTGTGCCTGTTTCTCTGTGGGGGAGGCAGGGCACAGGTAAATGTGACGTTAAAGAAGGTGTGGCGGTCATTTATTTCATTAGCTGAGAAAGCAGTTTGATTTCAAACAGCTGTGTGCTTTGCGGATGTGTATAGATGGTCCTAATTTTTTGTCAATCTCTGTTTCAGACCTAACAGGCTTGGCCAGCGAGGCGTTCGCAGGCCATGCTGTTGTGAAGCATGAATGCACTCAAGGCACTGAGGATAAAACCAGGAACATTGATGGCTGGATCTCGGTGAGAACTAATGCTCTCTTTTTGCCCCCTACTGGTTATGTCAGTAAAATGCATCAGTAAAAAACTAAATTTATCAACTCGACAGCCATTCATTTTCTTATCCCTAATGAATCTAAAAAGAGAAAATCTTTGGTTACTATATTTAGAGGAGGATGTGTTTCAATTTTTCTTCTTAATTTGATGCTTCTAATTCTTTTTTTACCTATTTGTGTTAAAGGAATAAATCTGGACTTTCTTACAAATGAAACAATGCAGAGTTAAAATTGGCAAAGACCAGATTTTTTTCACTTTTTCATTTACTAGCCCGTCTCACTAGGTGTAGTAGTTTAGATTCTTTATTTTCTGTAATATGATGTCCCTCCCACTTCTGAGCTTGTGTGGGTAAACCTGGTTATTTTTACTGGCCACTGGTGAAAAGCTAGTATGTAAACTCAGCATATTAAGAGAGCCTCCCTGGCATTGCCTTATTATTCCCTTGTTCCAGTCCATCCCAAAAATTATCCAGGGTCCAGGTCCTCTACTGGCGTGATATTTTCTGTAATCCCAAATCCTTTGTAGGCATACCCATGCCCTGTGACCTCTGGTGTATTATATGTTCTAAGAATAAACTAATGCTTAGCCATCTGTCAAACTACTACAAATCAGTTTGAACAACTGAATGAGAGCAAATGCCCATATATTCTTTGGCTTATATCGCAGAAAAGTATGACAATCTGTGCTTCTCAGCCTGCAGTCTCCTGTTTTCACTCAATTTACACTTTTCTCTCCCCTTTTTTCCTAGAGATCAAATGGTCTTCTAAAGAAGCCATGGGTAGCTGTTGTAGCTGTCCAGATAAAGAATCAATCCCAGATAACCATCAAACCAAGTTTAAGGTGGGTCTCCTCAAATGAGCTGCTCCTCTTACACCATCGGCACACTCTGCCGGGAGCATACACAACTTAAACTGCCCTCGGGGGAGAGGTCTTGTTCATATCCCTCCCCCATCCCATAAGACATGGTCTCTGACAGGCTAACCCACCTTGCTGCTAATTTAGGAAGGTCCATAGCTGCCTGTTGAGGGAGGGGCCGGGGGGTAGTGCCTGTGCTGTTCAGGAACACTAGGAATATTTAACAAGTTTTGTCGCTGGCTAAATGATTGCAGCAATCTGCCGTGTGAAATTAATTTTTGTACTCCAACAAACTTTGCAAAGGCCTGTGCTTGGTGCCTGAATTTTGTCATGCTGGATAAGTAGCTGGGTGCTGGGACTAGATTTGATTGTTTGGATTGTGTGCCGCTTTACATTTTGTAAAGTAACCCACAAAAATCCCACAAAAAATTAACAACTGTAGTTTAGTGAAAGGTGTTTTTTCTCTGTGAGGTTATGGTGTAGATGTGGACGTGTGATAGATGTAATGTTGCTGAAAATCACCGATTTGTAGCTGGCATGTTTCAGTCATGTTGTCTTGTAATAAGCAAACAAGCTCCCCCCAGCTTGGAATACAGATATTTCTGTCATTTTTGAGTCAGAAGGTGTTTTACCAAGTAAGGGTATAGTGCCCTTCCCCTGTGAACTGGGCACTGGCTCTGTCAGTGGGATTACTGAGTGTTGGACACTTTGTGCTTCCTTAAACCTGAATGACAATGAATAACGTAGAACTAACTTGAATAAAAGCCACAGTTTAAATTTTACACTAAAGGTGTACATATGTATGTTTTATATATTTATGCAAGTAAAAAATGATTTTTCTTGTAGGCATTCACTAAGTGAAAAACATGGTGTGTAGGCAGCTGGATTTTAGAGCAGATTCTGTGCAGTGGTGTTGGGCAGAGGGTGCTAACTACTACCTGTGCACAGGTGATCAACGTGGATGACGATGGGAATGAGCTGGGCTCGGGCATCATGGAGCTGACGGAGGAGGAGCTCATCCTGCACACGCACAAGCGCCATGCCGTCCGCTGGCCCTACCTATGCCTGCGTCGATATGGTTATGACTCCAACCTCTTCTCCTTCGAAAGTGGCCGGCGTTGCCAGACCGGGCAAGGTGAGTTTTTCATGCTGGGCTTTAGGGCTGTGCGATATGGCATAAAATTCATATTGCGGTATAATTTAAACCATAGACTATAGACGGTATATATTGCGGTATATGATTTGATCTGTAAATTTCAATATAACTGTTTTTGAAAGGGTAACATATGTCCATAGCAAAGGCATTGCAGCAGGAAGTTGTATAATAAACTGTTAACACATTTCAAAGTAGTCATGAAAGTAGAATATTTATTGTGCGAATCTGTAATTATAGAAAAAATATGAAAACAACATTTCAAGTAACTTCACTGGTTTTATCTTATGTTAAAAACACAGGTTGGTTTTGTAAACTGTATAGGTGAGCAGAAAACAAGACACAGAACTAGACTAGTGTCATAACTCCATCTATATTAGTATGACCATCTCTCCCATAAAGGTCCTGCTAGGCTGAGTCCTGCACGGTTTCGGGTACTCGACGGGTGACCCGCAAATTTTGTTGAAACGGGTGAAAAATATTCTACTGTGTCGGATACGGGTTCAGGTCGGACAGGAGAGCTAAATTGCGGTTTTCGAAACATCATGTGCCAACAAAAAATACCCTAGGGCTGTATTTTAGTGACAAAATCCCTACATTTAAGATGATAAAACGTAAAATCCATATCAGTTTATGCCTGCACGCGCATTCCCGGAAATCTCTCCCACTTTCATTTTAAAAAAACGCATGCGATCTCCAGTTGTTCGAAATGGATGCTGAAGTAGTCAGCTGAGGCCATCAACTGTGGACGATATCCTTTTTTTACACAGTAATATAAAGCACCGCACCAAACGCTAGTCTTCGCCTTCACGTAGGAATTCCAATCGGGTAATCAAAGGAAAATGGACAGTGCACGTAGGTATCCTATAAAAGCCAATACTGTGCAGGGTAGCCTAATGTACATTTTATATAATATTAGTTTTATTTACACATTTAATTGCAAGCTGGTAAGGCTATGTGTAGTCATGGCAATATCAAACATTATTTGAGTTTGGAGGTTAAGCTAGTACCATTTGTTTTGCTTATTATTGGGCTGTTATTAAGCAACATTTACATTTGGCTATGCCTTTTCAACTGATGTTGCACATGTCACTGGTCGTTTGTTGTGCCAATAAACTTTTGTCTAATTTTTAATCTGACTGATTTTCATTCGGGTACGGGTCGGGTGTCGGTATGTATTTATAGCGGATCGGGTGCGGAATTTAATTTTATTTTATTTCTGTCGGATAACGGTTCGGATACGGGTTTAAGTATGACTGGTACAGGCGGGTGCGGTTTGTCAAAATCAGACCTGTGCAGGACTCTGCTGCCGGGTGCAGCAATAATCATATAAACAATTTTCATATAAATCATATAAATAATAAATTATTTATTATTTGGCGTGACTTCATTGCGTCATTTATGCGGACGAGGAGCGGAAATTTCTGCGGAAGGGCGGTATAATCAAAATCTCTCCCGTTGGCCAAATTTATATCGTATACCGTTTATACTGCCCAGTACTTTTGTAACTGCTGGAGATCTACATGGTTTGTTTTGATATTTGGCAGCATAATGGTTCAGATCTGTGGCAAATCATTTGTAACTGTCTCTCATGAAGCCTAAACTTAGTGCCATATAGTGTTGTTCTGCACACCTGTAATTTAAAACGCCGCAAGTTTTCCTTTTTATTTGGCTGATGCGGCTATTTTGCAGCGTTCAATGCATTGGCTCGGTCATGATATATTTGCTAAGGATTAAGCGGGGCAGGACTTTTCACTGTTTTCCCTGATGTTTAAGTCGATAAAATCTGAACGAAGTGGCCAGGTCCACCGCGGACAGTGCAGTGTGTCCGCTATTCATTGTGTCCCTCCCCAAGAAGGCTGTTGAGGGGTCATGGCCCGGTCAGTGCCTCCTTAGGGAGGCGGAGCCATAGCATGCACCATTGTTAATGTGAAAATATCAACTTTGACTCCATGCTGACAAAGGATGAAGTGGTGGGAGCGGGCCGGGGCTCTGTCTGTGTGTGTTCTGGGGCGGGTAAGTCTGGCCTGTGGGACAGTGTGTGCCGTGATGCCCTCCGCTGTGAACTGTGTGCTGCGTGATCTAGTGCAGTGTATGCTTGTGTGTGGTGGAGCAACACGCTCTCCTGGGTGGGGCACACGCGCGGTTTTTGGTATGTGCATATGCTTCCCTTCTGGACCTGCCAAAATTCTGCTCTTTTAGCTGTAGGCTTGTGTTTAGTGATAGTTTCGTTCGTTGATTTATTAATTTACTCGGTCTATAACACATTTTTGTTTAATTGTTCATACTGATTTGTATTAGTTTGTATCAGTACACTATGTAAACAACCCAAAATGTCAATAAATTATGCTGTTTTGCAATTGATGAGAATTCAATATTATCTAAATATATTTGACACTTCATCCCTGTGCATAATCCAACCAAAAAGCATCAATTTTGAAATGCAAATAGAGATGTGAAGTATTAAGGATTTGGCATCACTTTTAAGGACCATTGAATGAATGCTCCTGGAAAATAGATGATTGGACTTTTATATACCTGTTCATTTCCCAACTGCTTCGCCAGTACCAGTAATTGGAGGGAGGGTGCCTGGAGCCGGTCCCAGGCAGCATACGGCACAAACAGGGGACGCCCTGATTGGGATGCCAGTCCTTCACAGGACACATACAAATGCTGTGGCCAATTTGGAGAATCCAGTTCACGTAACTGCATGTCTTTGGACTTTGGGAAGAATCCGGTGCAGTATGGGTTTAAGGGAAAACTTACGAACTCCACACACAGAGCGATCAGAGCCTCAGGTGATGAAGGAATGAGGAAGATGGTGATTATTATTATTATATTGTTTTGTGTGTACTTAAGGTACTTAAGGCTTTGGTAATTAGCTACTTTTCCCCTTTAAAATCTGTGTCCATGGCTGTCTATATTGGACTTCCTTAGACCCACACTGGTATAGGGCTGGGTGATATGGCTGAAAAACAATAGCTCAAGAGATTATATCACTCTGTCAATATAAAATATATAGATATTAAAATTTGCCTAAAATTAGGACAAAGAATTAATAATGGATTTATTCACATCAGTTTTTCCCAACTGCTGAACACATTTGATGTAAAAAAAAAAACAACAAAACAAATTAACTAAATATCCAAGTGCTTGAAATGTAAACAAATCTTTCAAGTACAGTGGTACCTCGGTTCTCGAACTTAATCCGTTCCGGACTCTGGATCGAATCCTAAAAAGTTCGAGTTCTGATCGAATTTTTCCCTTAAGAAATAATGGAAAACCAATTAATTGGTTCCTGGCCCCCCAAAATTACACCTAAATGTTTTAGTTTTTTTTAAAGCATTTATACACAAAATGAACAGGATAAAACAAGAAGAGCATTTTTTTTTAATGGCTTCCAAAACGATAAAGATCTTATCCCAACATTACCAAAAGTTAAATGAATGGAGTCAAATTGGAGCTACATAATGCTGCAAACAGATTTGTGTACCATAAACAATGTATTGATTTTTTTTCTGTCATTTTTTTGAAAACACACACACACACACACACACACACACACACACACATATATATATATATATTGTTGATAATAATTTTTCTTTGTTTTGCTTGTTCTGGCACTCTTTGTGGGGCGTGTGTTACGCTTTGCAATATTTCTTTCCCTTTGGACTGTGTTTTTTTCTGGTGGTGGGTGGGGCTTCGTGGAGGTGTCTGTCTCTAGCTGATGCCCAATCCATACTACCTGCCTGATTTGTCCCTCACACATCTGCGCATGCACAGCATTTTTGAGCATGCATACACTGAGACTTTCTGGCACTGCTTGTGTGTCCATCACTGCCTGATCCATTAGTTCTGCAAACTATATTGTCTATATTTACATTAGATAAAATCGATATAACCATACATTATCATGCCATTTTGTATGTAAAAATGTATTGAATATAAGAGAAAAATAGTGATATCGCGCAACCCTACTCTGGTAACTAGGCAGTCAAAATCCAGGGCGGTAATTTGGCCTGTTTACTTTGGAGCAAATCAGTTCAATTCAAATCACTTTATTTATCCCCAAGGGGCAAGTTAGAGTAACTGTTTTAGTACCACAGTTTAAACAGTACTTTAAAAATTAGATGTTGGTCACAGCAGTACATCGCCGGGTTCTTTTGGGTGTGAGCATGTGTTTAGTGTGTGCTGAGTGGACGGCCGTGCTCTGCCGTCATGTCCCTCTGTCGCAATCTCTGCCGTGTCCTGTGTTCTTGGGATTTGTCTGGTCCTGCTGTGATGCACGGCGTGTGTATGTGCTTGTGCATGCATGTGCATGAGTGCCATGTCTGTTGTTGAAGGCATAGCCTTGTGTCCGCAGGCATCTTTGCCTTCAAGTGCGCCCGAGCAGAGGAAATCTTCAACATGCTGCAGGACGTCATGCACAACAACAGCATCAGCGTGGTGGAGGAGCCCGTGCTGGAGGCCAACCACAGCCACGTGGAGCCGGACCTTCCTCGCACGCCACGCACACCCACCAGTGAGTGCCTGCCTACCCGTTTGCTCCCTGCCTGTCTGCAGTGACCTCACCACAGGCGTGTAACCCTGGCCACTGTCTCCCTGTAGCTCCAGGCTACACCGGCCCAGCACTGCCCAATGGTGTTCCCCATCCTCGCTACCCCTCGTTTGGGGAAGGCTCCTCGCGCCCCTCCAGCCGACACCCGTCAGTGGGCAGTGCCCGCCTGCCGTCAGTAGGTGAGGAGTCCACACACCCTCTACTGGTGGCCGATGAGCCGGTAGGTGCCATTTTATTATTGTTGTTGTTATTATTAGTATTAATAATAATAATGATTATATTTATATGAATAATATGGGAGGTTCATATTTTATGATCATTTAATCAGTTTTTTCAGAAGGAATTAAAAAGTCTCAAACCATTATTTGAGATACTAATTATCTGACCCAATTTAACAAAAGAGCTTGATATATACTTGTGGAAGACATCTAGACGCGTGGAAGTGATTAACATTTTCTTTTGAACATTGGCCGCACAATGTCATGTCATTAAATGAGTCTGATGTGGTCAGTGCCTTACATCGTACCCACTGTCAGTTTCAGAACCTTTTGTGCTCCAATCCCTGCTATGTGCAATGGAGCCATCTAGTGGCAAATATCAAAAGAAGCCCTTTGCCTTGTATTGGTGGGTCTCAGCCATTGTCCTCATTGGCTACTTGACATTGTTAACCAACTGGTTGGTGCTTCAGTGATGTGGATGTCAGGCATTTAAGATGGAAGCACATCATTGTCTTATGACCATGGTTGAGCGCACTTTTGTGATGGTGGGAAAGTGAATGAAGGGGTTGGTTCCTGAATGCCTTTTTCATCTTCTCCTCAAGATTCACACCTATGTGAACACATCTGGTGTCCAGGACGAACGTAGTGCCCACAAGAGCAGCCAGGGCCCCACGGAGCCACGGCTCTCCCTCACAGAGAGCATGGCCCCCCCAGAGGAACCAGAGCCACGGGTGCTGCTGGAGCCAGAGGGGGTCAAGTTTGTGCTGGGCCCCACCCCTGTGCAGAAGCAGCTCATGGCCAAGCAGCAGCAGCGGGTGGCAGGTGACGGGGAGCAGAAGGGTGGGGAGCCGGCACCACCAGTGCCGCCACCACCCCTTGGAGGAATCAACGGCGGTGTGGTCCCCGGAAACCCCGTCGACTGTGACACGGGTTATGACAGCGACGAACGGAAGGAGACCCCGCCGGTGGCTAAGCCAGCCTACGAGCACTTCAACGGCACTGCCTCTGGCCCCGCCCCCCGCCGCAGCCGGCCGCCCATGCCCCTCCCGGATGCGCAGAACGTCAACAACTCGGCACAGCGGAGGACGGCACTGCTCAACTATGAGAACCTGCCTGCGCTGCCCCCTGTGTGGGAGGCGCCCAAGCCCAGCTCAGAGGGTGAGGAGGATGAGGAGGAAGAAGAGGAGGCCTTCGCACCAAAGACGCCGTCCCTCAACGGCTACCACCAGCATTCCAGCCTGGACCCAATGCACAACTATGTGAACACAGAGAATGTAACAGTCCCGCTCAGCGCCCACAAGCTGGACTCGGGTCGCCAGCGGGACAGCTCCGCCCCCACCGTGTTCAACTTTGACCTCCGGCGACCCGGGCCTGAGGCGCCGCGGCAGCTCAACTACATTGAGGTGGAGATGGAGAGGGGCTCGGACTCAAGCAACCCCCAGACCCCCAAGACCCCCACCACGCCCCTCCCACAGACCCCCACCCGCCGGACAGAGCTGTACGCGGTCATCGACATTGAGCGTACGGCCGCCATGTCCATCCTGCAGAAAGCACTGCCCCGCGACGATGGCACTGCCAGGAAGACGCGGCACAATAGTACTGACTTGCCCATGTGAGCCTAAGGAAGCGCACTGTGTAACACTGCACCTTCATCCTCTGTCCGTACGATCGGAGTGAACCTTCTAAAGGCACAAGGGCTTCGTTACAGTTAGCGGTTTTCTGTGTTTTTTTTTTTTTTTTTTTAACTTGTCTTCAGACAAACAAAACACCCCTCACAGGCAACAGCCAGGTTTAGTGAGTTGTCAATTTCTTACTTGTACTTATCTGAAAGGTAGTTAAGCCAGAGCAGGTACATGATGTGTACGTCCTCCCTCTCACCCCACAAAAAATTTTGCTGCCACTTCTTATTAAATATGGTCATTTCCCACTCCTCGTATTCACTAAGAAACATTCCTTGTCCGTTTCCCTGCGGTACGAATCGGTGATTGCTGATGAGTCATTCCAAGTGTGAATTTCGATACCTGGAAATCGCATGTACACTACAGTCACTTTGCCACTACATTAAATATGCCTTTTATTATTTAACAATTAAAAGCTCTGTTAGAGCGCAGTCTGGTTGTACTTAAAGTACCTTAGTACCTTTTTGTCAATTTGCATGTAAGCTGAACACACGTGCTTTAAGTTGTTTGAATTGACTTGTTGCTTTTCCATAAGTACGAAGTGATTTTTATTCTTCCAGAATCTATCTGCAGGTCGATGGATGTTGTCATGGTACGGTCAAGTGTCCTTAAGGCGAACGCAGAAATGATAAACAAAGCTGTATACCACGAAAAAGTGTTCCTTTGTCATAAGGAGTCCAGCTTTCTGCCATTTACCTTTTCTCATTGTATTATATTGTAAAATTTATATGTTCTAACTTGCATTATAAAATAGTTTTTTCTACCTACCTTAATGCTTAAATATAGGAATTGTATAAAAGTAGTTTAATAGATTTGTTTATTAAACCAATAAAATTGTAGTGGAAGAAAATGAAATCCCCCTTGCCAAACTTTTTCCTGGATTTTTTTTTTTTTTTTTTTTAAGTTGAACCTAAGGGTTAATTACTGATGTAAACATTCCTTTTTTATTATTTTTTATTTTGGGTATTCTACTTAAAATTATAAAACACTATGCAGCAAAAAGCTCACAGCTGTGCCATGTGCCACAATGTATGGACATTTTATTGAAATTTATATTGATATTTGCATTTTTCAGGTATGAATTAGTTTACCAAAATGTTTGTATTTTTAAGACAGGAAAAAAAACATACTGTGTATTTTGTGATATCTGCATTTTCTCATATGCCATCATTGCCAACACATTTTTGTAGCATGGCAACAATAAAAACAAGAAAAACTTGTAGTTTTGTATTCCTTTCTAAATGTCACCTGTTTTCTCTGACCTTAAACCCCTTTTATTGTATTTTGTGAAGCCTTGGCGGCGCTAATCTCCTTTCCAAGACTTGGCTTTTCCTCTGGGTTTATTTCCAAATATGGATTGCCAACCAAGGCTAATGAGCTCCAGAGATGGACACTGAAGGCAAAGATCCAAGCATTCAAGCACAAGTGCTACAGGAAGCTGTTGACCATACACTACACTGAGCACAAAGACCAACAATCATGCCCTTGCCAGGCAAGCAGGAGCCACTTTTGGCTACTGTGATGTGTCACAAGTTTGCATGGTTTGACCATGTTAACCACGTCAACACTGGCCAGAACCATAAACCCTAAAGGGCAAAGCACCAAAGAGTGGACTGGTCAAGCCCTTGACACACTGCTGCAGATTTCAGAGGTCAGCGAAAGGTGGAGTCCTGCCCTTTAATTCATGGTGCCCCTACAACAGCGGTGGCCAATCTTAAACCGCAAAGGGCCGGTGTGTATGCAGGTTTTTGGGGTAACCTTTAGGTCAGCTGTTCAAACCCAGGTGTGAGGACTCCTCAGCCAATCAGTCCTCTAATTAGTAATATAATTAGGGAGCTGCAGCGAAAACCCGCAAACACACCGGCCCTTTACGGATAAGATTGGCCACCCCTGTCCTACAACAACAGTCAAGGGATTAGTAGTACTAGTTTTCTGTGAAAGCGTGCTCCTGAAGTCTAGCAAATGTGCTCTGGTGTAGTTTTTGTCGATTTATATATATTGCATCTAATATTATAATGTATTATGTAATTTTTAAATATACTAGCCATCTGGTAAATTATTTGCTCTGATGCCTTATGTTGAGGTTGTCACACCAGCTATGCAGGACATTAAATGGAAATGGTGAATTAAATGACTCTTCTCAATAACTACTTAAATGTGTAGTGATCAGCTGCTTATTCTGAGAAGTGCATGGAACTGGAAAGCCTTAAGGTTTAGCTAAGAGGAGATGATAGGGTTAAGTAGATGATTTTAATGTCATGGCTGATTGGTATGTACAGATACGCAAACATATATCTATACAGTTGAAAGCAAAGATTTGGGGCACAGGGTCAGGCCGCTTATCCAGGACCCCTGGAGCAGGTTTCTGGTTATCAGAGTCAGGGGAGTGCCGCTTGCTGTCGGTGAGCGTGTCACTATGCCTTTAAGAAAGGGCGATCCCTTGCGCCTTGCGTCATTACGTCGGCCGCCATTCTGTTGCCCGGCTAAGTTGCGAAGTAGCTGAGTGTGTCTGGCTTCCAACTACACCGGAGAAATCATGGTAGGGTTCTTTTTTTGTGCCGCATTTATATTTTCATTACTGAAGTTTCATCTTGCTTCTCAATGAGCTTAGTGCAGTTAATTGGACGCGTAAAAATTTATGGCGATATTGACTTACGTAGGCAGCATGGGATTCTATGGCCTCACATCATTGACAGTAAAAGAAAGCACATGGCCTGCGTCAAGTTGGCAAGAAATAAAATGCAACGTAATACCGCTCTTAACAGATAGCTGGCCCAGTTATCAAATGCAGCATGTACTATAAGGACAGAAAAAATGTAAAATTCAGGCGTTTCGCCGCAAGGGTTGCGATTAATGACTTGCTGAGGATTACTATTGTTCAGCAGAAGCGTGGACACAACGAAAATGTACAGAATTTGCCAGATCATGGCCACCGAATGCAGCCAGTTCGCATCATTTGGGATTCTTAATCCTAAAGCGCGTTAAGTGATTAATATGAACAGTACTATGCGAAATTAAGGGTAGTTTTCCGCGTGAGAGGCCAGTTCCGTTACATCGGCCCTCGTTTCGTTGTTCTAGGTGTTTCTCGGGAGGAGGAGGAGGAGGAGGAGGCGGAGTCACAGTCGATCTGGCAATGAACTGAACAATACAGCCTCTTATTGAATATTAAATCGGCAATCATTGCTAATTGCAGCAGTCATCTATTCATATTTTTACTATAACTACACTTTACTAAATAATATTTCCATATGTCGCTAGTAGTTTACTATTTACGATGCACACTAAGATATATTAAATGCAGTTATCGGGATATATAACCTGCAACTTTCCATAGGTAATCCGCTGATATAACCTTAATGCATATATTTAATTCTGAGCAGCATAGATTCATGATTTCCTAATGTGCGGGTGGTCGGTTTGAGTACAATATTCGCAGTAATAAATGGAGAATCTCTTTGGTCAAAAGCCATGGCAGAGTTCAGGGTATTAAAACATGCCATAAAGTATTTCTTGTTGTTAAAAATTACTTGAGGAAAAATCGTGGGTGCGCACAGTACTTAATGATAAACCCTTTATTTTTTATTAGCTACTAGTAACACTGTTAAACCATCTTTTAATAACCTGCTTGAGCCAACAACTATACGTGTAATGCCGTTATGATGCAGATCTTTTTATTTTGGTGATTCTTAGGCATCGCTTTCATTGGCGCCCGTTAACATCTTCAAAAGAGGAGCTGATGAGGAAAAGGCAGAGACTGCCCGCCTCGTGAGTACACCGCTCGGCCCTGCTGGTCTTAGCCTTGTGTTTCTTACAGGGCACATTGCTAATACACTTTAATTTCCTGCTTCTTTCAGTCTTCCTTCATTGGTGCCATTGCCATTGGCGATCTGGTGAAAAGCACGCTGGGTCCCAAGGGAATGGTATGTAACTTGATTATTGATGCCCTTTGCGAAAAGCGAGCATCACTTTTTTTAAAAAAATGGCTCGAATTAAATTCTCAAATTCTTGATGAGTCTTTATTAGAATTATTTACATGTTTCTTTACATTTGTAAGTGCCTTTATTATTGCACACTAGATCCTCGTCGTCTCATCTCACTGTGTACATATATATGACACTAAAGTTTACTTTGACTTAATTACTGATGTAATATTCGGTTGCACTTGGTTGGTGGATCTGTTGATATTGAAATAACTTTGCAGCTGAAATGGCAGTAATTGTTGTAGCTTGGCATGTAAAGTAAATAATGGATTAGTAGCAGTGCCACATTTTGTGTTACTGTGCTGTCTGTCACGCAGGATAAGATCCTGCTGGGCAGTGGTCGAGAGGGCTCTGTGACCGTGACCAATGATGGTGCCACCATCCTCAAGGCCATCGGGGTGGACAACCCTGCAGCCAAGGTCCTGGTTGGTAAGTACCTGTGTGCTGGGTCCTCCCAAAAGTTGAGCCAGTGGTGCCATGATGGCATATTGCATCATTCTTGTTATCGTTCAGTTTTTTTTTCCTTTTATTTTGTTGATTCATGTTGCCTCATTCTCCTTCTCAGACATGTCTAAAGTCCAGGATGATGAAGTAGGGGACGGGACGACCTCAGTCACAGTGCTAGCAGCAGAGCTGTTAAGAGTAAGAGGCTCACACCTTCGCTTAAAGAGTGTGGCTCTGCAGTGCATCACATGACACTGTAGCCCAGGACTAGCCAATCACAGCGGAGGAGCGTGGTTTTAAATTCAAGGCAGCCTGGCTCTGGGATCACTTGTGGAATAGACCTAGTGTATTTTGGAGAATCCAAAAATGGATTTAAAAACCTTTTTTTTTGTGTACTTTGCTGATCTGATTTTAAAAATGCATTTGGTTTCTCTAGTTATGTAAGCCATCATGATTTTGTAAATAAAATAGTTTCGGCTACGTGTAAAAGCACATGATGAATTTGGTTTCTGTGATTAGGAAGCAGAGTTGCTCATTGCAAAGAAGATACACCCCCAGATCATCATCTCCGGGTGGAGGAAGGCCACACAAGCAGCGCGCGAGGCACTCCGAGAGGCTGCTGTGGATCATGGGTAAACAGTTCTATCTGTACTAATTTTTATATTAAAATAACTTTAGAGGCACCTGGGATATAAAATTTGTGTGTGTGGGAGTTGTGTGGTTGAAGCTTTTCTTTGTCTCTAATTTTAAACGTGTTCAAATTTAAGATTTAGCTGGATTACTAAATTAGGATTAGTTGACTGTCTCTGTTGGAGTTCCTCTAGGGATTCTGGGTGCCCAGTAATGATTGGTTGACTTGAATCCACTGCATATTTAGTGGGGAAACTGCCATCTCCATCATACTGCACCAATGGAGCTGGGAGCTGTGGTTCGCTGTCTGTTGGTCATCTGTGCTCTTGCTGAGTCATTTCCTGATGTCCCCTCCCTTGTTCAGGAATGACCAGGTGAAGTTCCAGGAGGACCTGCTGAACATCGCCCGCACAACGCTCTCCTCCAAGCTGCTGACGCACCACAAGGACCACTTTGCCAAGCTGGCTGTGGAGGCCGTGATGCGACTCAAGGGCTCTGGCAACCTGGAGGCCATCCATGTCATCAAGAAACTGGGGGGCAGCCTCACTGATTCCTACCTGGACGAAGGTGAGGGAGGTCTGCCTGTTAGCCCGTTAGCCCGTCGCTACCTCTCCAGTGTTACATCACCGCAGTGAATCTTACCACATGCTGGCTTTAACTCTTCAGACTGACAGCTGGACCTGATCAGTAGATAAGGCAGCTACGGGATGAACATCCAGTAGCACATTCAATTTTGATTGTCTCTGGGCCTCACTGGTTTAGCTTAAAGAGGGATGGAAAATGTGCCCAGATTCTCCTGTATCTCGGCGAGTCAAATTTTGTGTTTTATAAGCTTGTTTATGAACATGGTAATTTAATATATAGAAGCATTTTGTATGCTTGGCCTGCTACTGGTGCCTGCTATGTTTGTGTTTATGTTGTGCTTTGGACAGCTGTTTTTACATCTAAAGCAACGTTGGTGTAAATGCTTGGAATCTCCTTGGTTATCCGACACACGCTGACCAGCTTCCATCTGAACGCTGGCAAGATGCTGTCCTGGGAAATGGCTTCTGGCACCAGCCAAGGCCTGGCTGGCCTCCGTCACTGCAGCCACTGCGGAAAAAAATCAGGCTTTTCTCCTCCCTGTAAACTGGCTGATTACTTGACACCCGTGTTGACTTGACGGTGA